CATCTCACCCCAACAAGGCTAGCATTAATCCAAAAAACACAAAATAATAAATGTTGGAGAGGTTGTGGAGAGACTGGAACACTTATACGCTGTTGGTGAGAATGTAAAATGGTGCAACTGCTTTGGAAATCGATTTGGCGCTTCCTTAAAAAGCTAGAAACAGAAGCATGATACGATCCAGCTATCCCATTCCTTGGAATATATCCTAGAGAAATGACAGCCGTCACATGAATAGATATATGCACACCCATGTTCATTGCAGCACTGTTCACAACAGCAAAAAGATGGAAACAACCTAGGTGTCCATCAACAGATGAATGGATAAACAAATTATGGTATATCCACACAATGGAATACTATGCAACAATAAAGAACAATGATGAAGCCGTGAAACATCTTATAACATGGAAGAAGCTAGAGGTCATTATGCTGAGTGAATTTAGTCAGTCACAGATGGAAGTCCATGGTATATTCAGTATTCTTCACCAACACCATAATTCAAAGGCATCAATTCTTCTTCCTTTTCCTTATTAATTTTCCAGCTTTTGCATGCATATGAGGCAACTGAAAATACCATGGCTTGGGTCAGGCGCACCTGAGTCCTTAAAGTGACATCTTTGCTTTTTAACCCCTTATAGAGGTCTTTTACAGCAGATTTGCCCACTGCAATACATCATTTGATTTCTTGATGGCTGCTTCCACGGGTGTAGACTGTGGATCCAAGTAAAATGAAATCCTTGACAATCTTTTCTCCATTTATCATGATGTTGTTTATTAGTCCAGTAGTGAGGAATTCTGCATTCCTTATGTTCAGCTGCAATCCATACTGAAGGCTGTAGTCTTTGATCTTCATCAGTAAGTGCTTCAAGTCCTCTTCTCTTTCAGCAAGCAAGGTTGTGTCAACTGCACATCGCAGGTTATTAATCAGTCTTTCTCCAGTCCTGATGCTGTGTTCTTCTTCAAGACAGTTTGCTCACGTCTGTTGACAACAGCCCTCATTTTCTCATTCACTATTGGCAGGAAGCCTCAGTTCCCCACCAGAGAAACCTCTCCACAGGACTCCTTATTTCCTCATAAAATGGCAGCCAACTTCTCTCAGAGTGAGTGATCCAAACAAGAGCAAAGCAGAAGCCACAATGCCTTTTATGACCTGGCCCCAATGTCATATACCATCACTTCTGCCATATTCTAAGGGTCCTAGGGACCAGCCCTGATACAATGTGAGAGAGGTCTACAGAAGGGCATGAATACCAGGAGACAGGGATCACTGGGGATCATTTTGGAACCTGGCTGCCACAAACTCAAATATCCACTAACTGATGAATAGATAGATAAACTGTGGTACATCCATACAGTGGAATAGTAATCAGCAATTAAAAGGAACAAACTATTGATATATGCAACAGCATGGAAGAATCACAAATGCATTATGCTAAGTGAAAGAAGCCAGACCCAAAAGGCTATATGAGTCCACTTATATGATATTCTGGAAAAGACAAAACCAAATGGACACAGAACAGATCACAGGTTACCAAGGCTTGGGGAGGGGGTAGAAGATTGACTACAAAAGACCTGAGGGAACTTTTTGGGATGATGGAAATATTCTATATTTGCTTATAATAGTGATTATATTACTCTGTTAAAATTCATAGAATGGTACACCTAAAAAGGGTGAGTTTTATTGTATGTAAATTATACCTCAATAAACCTACTCATAGAAAGAGAGCGAAGAAAATCTTGAGGGGGAAGGAAAGAGGTTTGGTTGGGAGGATGGCTGCAGGAGTCTCAATGTGTAAATAGTAGAATTTTCTGGAGGTGAGGCAACATTCAAAAATAATAATAAAAGCTCCCTGACCTGAAGAAACTTCTCTGATCTTGAGTCTGCAGACTGAAAATGCCCGTCAAATTCTGAGTAAGATAGGTTAAAAAAAAGAGAGAAATAAACATATCCTGGCTATATTAGTTTCCTAAGGCTGCTATAACAAATTCCCCAAAACTGGGCAGCTTAAAGTTGTTCCTGGGTGGCGCAAATGGTTAAGCACTCAGCTATTAACCAAAAGGTTAGCAGTTTGAATAGCAGTTTGAATCCACCCAGAGACACTTCAGAAGGAAGGCCTAGCAATCTATTTCCAAAAGGTCACAGCCATTGAAAACTCTGTTGAGCTCAGTTCTACTTTGACACACATGGGCTCACCATGAGTCGGAATCAACTCGATAGCAATTGGTTTGGCTTAAAACAAAACAAATATATTCTTTCATTGTTCTAGGGGCTAGAAGTCTGAAATCAAGGTGTCGGAAGTCACACTCCCTCTGAAGGCTCTAGGAAAGAATCCTTCCTGGCCTCTTCTAGCCTTGGCATTCCTTGGCTTTTGGCAGCATAACTCCAATCTCTCCCTCTGTCTTCACATCGCCATCTTCCCTGTCTCCTCTGTGCCTGAGTCTCCAAAACGCTCTCTCTTTATAAGGACACCAGTCATTGGTTTAGGGCCACTCCAGTCCAGTATGACCTCATCTGAACTTGATTATACCTGCCAAGTACCTATTTCCAAATAAGGTAATATCTATAGATACCAAGGATTTAGGACTTCATCAGAGCTTTTTAGGGGACACACTCAACCCACAATACTGGCACATCCTGCAGAAAGTCTTAAACTCCAAGAATAAAGATAAAAATCTCAGATGCTTCCAGAATGAACTAACAAGTTACTTAGGAAAAGTAAAAGAGACAGGCATCGGCCTTCTTACCTGCAACATAGCAAAAGAGTTTTCTTTCTTTTTTTTTTTTAAACTTTTTGAGAGAAAAGAACTGCCATGGAAGAATTCTACACCAATCAAGAGTAAAAGAAAGTTATTTGGGATATGTAATCACTCAAAAAATTATCCTGTCTAGGGAAAATAGCCAACAAAAAGACTGTAAGTTAATCATAGCCGAAATAGGGGAGGATGAAGAGGAAACCTTTTGACGTATGAAGTTAAATCTAAACAGATACTAGTAAAGCAATTGGGCAGAGACATACAATAAATGAAAACCTAATTTATTAGAATTAAATTAAGGAATAAAAACAAAAAGAATATTAAAGTCTGCCTAGAGTACAAAGAAACTGTAAACACTTGTTAGAGTTTTTGTTTGTTTTTTTACCTGGTTTGCAAGATGAAAGTGACCAAACAGCTTGTGACCCAATTTCCCGTACTGTCCCAGTCCTTTCTAACTGCTTAGGGTCAGCACCAGGAGGTGTCTTGTTTGGTGTGGTCATTCTCTAAATACTCTATGCAGAAAAAAAGAACACACACATTATACCAAGACTTGACCATCTTTATACAAAAGGTAAAAATAAAAACTTAATACCAAAATGGATCACTTATATGTCCTTGATATCCTTATATCAATCATCAATTTCTCAATGCAGTTAACATAACTCAATCAATGTAATTTAAAAATCTTGAAATTTCGTTTTTGTTTTTGAAACATAACATACTCTGTATTACATTATGTGCAAAGTACCAAGGTACTGTAGTTGAAAGGGCACAGAATTAGCATCAGTCTCTCCTTTAACTAGCCTAGACTTAGGGCAGGTCTGGGCTTCATTTCCTTTCCTGTCAATTATAGATGATCTATAATTCTATGATACTACACATTCTATGAATGAATGTATTAATTCAGAGTAAGTGTCTGCCCTAGAAAAATCAAACTTAAATTCTTACCCTAGGAATACGCAAACAGTGGTCTCTGTTCTAAATTTCCATTATGTGATGAGAGAAAAATCACCTCTCCCCACTGTCAAAAGTTCCCATTTATATGTGCTCTTAACATAAAAGATAGAGTCAGAAAAGTGGCTTCAAGGTCTAAAAGTGAACAATTGACCTATTCTAAACCAAATGTTGACTTCATCTTTCACATTTTGTGTTAATCTTAGTAAGTCTATGTAAATGAGAGAGGGGATCTCTTAAATAATGAACAATATGTAAAACCGCTGTTTAGGTAGTGAAAAGTTACAGCTACAGAACATCATTACACATGCTGTTATCAAACTGTCCCAATACTTTTCTATACCTTATCCTTGACACCTCTCATTAGGCTCAAGTTATTCCCTAATCGTCACACAAGCACTTGATACATATCAAATAATGGCACAACCACTGGACCGTAAACTTTTGAAAAGCCAGAGATGTAAATGCCCAATAAGTATTTACTGGATGAATGGATGGATGAACGAATAATGAATAAGTTCAGCCACAAACTAAAGTATTTGCAAATTAAGTAAGGTCTAGGATGAAACAATTAAACATGTGGGCACCGTCACAAGCTGTAATGTCCTGTCGCCTCAAAGCCCATCTACACACTTGGGCACAATTTAACTGCCAGACGTGGGGCTGGACGCCACCACGTGGATAAAACACGGAGCCTGGTGAAGACTGGGATCCTAGCCTCACAGAACTGATGACAAAGTTCAGAGGAATCTGATGTCAAAGAGAGAATGCCGCCGCGAGCAGCGTCTGGACCAGAGTCTCTTGGTCCTGCTTTACATCTCTGGCGTTCTAGAACAGGCAATGGACAAGGTTCCATCCTATTCGTGGCCCGCCGACCTTCAAGACACCGGAGCATAAAAGGAGATTCAGATTAGGGAGGAGAAAGTATTTGATGACGCTAGGGCTATTCTCCCCTCGGGAAAAAGCCCAGGACTTACAGCTTCCAGACCTGGCTTGCAGCAATTCAGGTTTTTTAGGACCTCCTGCAGCTCCGCGCCACTCCCACCTCACTTTTCAGAACCGCCTGACTTCCCCAACGACGTTGTGGGCGCAGAGCAATGACGTTATCTCCCACCACCTATTTCTAGGGCTCCGCCTCACACTCTGTCGCGCGCGCGCGCGCACTACGTCCTCATGCCGGGCGCGAGGCGGCAGCTGGGCATCGCCATTTTGGCCGGTGGCCGTAGGAACACGCTGTGTGGGTCAGAAGTGAAAGCAAGAGCTGACTTGGCCTGTACGCTCCCCTCCTCAAGGGGATCGTTTCCTCCAGGTATGTGAACAGACCGAAATGGTTTAGCCGTTAGCTGTCGTCTCTCACCGTGAAAGGCGATAGGAACGTTCTCCAAGAGACATTGGTGAGGCCTCAACTGGCGGCGGTGGAGACGGCAGCGGCGCGTGGCAGCGGGCGCCGGCGGGACAGCTGGAACCGCCCGAGAGCCGGCGCCGTTGTGTACGTGGGGCGCCTCGCCCTTCCCCTCCAGCAGACCAAGCTCTTGGCCACTGTTGCCCGTCACCTCCGCCAAGGGCTACGAGAATGGACCTATATGTCGCGTCAGCGATACACTCTCTACCGCCTCCACTCCCCCCCCCACCCCCCCGTTTACCCGCTCCCACCCTGAAGCTAGACCTTCTGGCGTGAAAAGTACCTGCAGAACTTAGGGCATCCCGACTTTCCCCACCCTCCCCCTGGCGCAGTGAAATGAATGTATTTTCACATGTGCGTATTTTATTGTGGAAATTTGTGGCCTTTTCTTCCACCTTTTGGTGGAATGAGTTATGGCATCTTGCCGCCATGAAGTCGAATACTCGTTGTCTACTCCCAGTTTTTATAGAAATGATGGCCAAACGTTGCAGGTACTTTTCTCATAGAGTATCGTGTACTGTGCGGTGGCTGTAATTGAGGTTATCCAAAGTAGTCCCCCAAGTGGAAAGCCTGTAGCTTTTTTCGTGCGCTATTATGGCACTTGGCACTTTTCCCTATGGTAACTTTCCCGTTTTCTGTCTTAAGTTCTTGAGATCAGGGATGGTATCTTTAGTATTTGTTGTGAATGAATGAGTGCAAAGCCAAATTCCCATGTCCCCTAAACTATATAAGCCTGTTTTTTCTATTTTGATGGGAAAATCGGTAAGAGTGAGGAATAGCTGTCAAAACAACTTGTGTTCGTTTTTTACCGTCTCCTCCACAGGACAACTATCTACTATGCATTTATGACGATGGCATTTGCTTTGCAGTCATTTGCCCCATATACTGAGAATATTCGTGCTATACCAGCCACCTGACAATAATGCTTGGTCAGTGTTAACCAAGGGGTCATATCTGCATTTGTACCAAAAGGGTTTGTTTTTTTAGTTAAAAACTTCGTTATTCTATAAAAAAAATTTTATGCAGAAAGCAATATTGTCTAGTGTCCCTTCTAAATTTAAGACTCTTTGAAATCAGAGTTATGCATCACTCCCAACTTATTATATGTTTTATAAGAATAATAACCTGCACTAACCATAGCTTAGAATATTTTCATGTGATTTCAAGCATCAGTTAACAGCAACTTGTAAAGTGCTTTTACACGGCATTGTAATAATTTTAGTCTTCTGCTGCAAATATATGTATGCCTCACTTTTTCTTCTCAGCTGGAAAAAAGACAGTGAGGGTCATTGTTTGAGTACCTGTTTTGAACACAGTTTGTCTTCACACCTGCAATATCTTCAAATCTCTCTTTGTTCCTGGGAATCTGTTACTATGATCTTCCCCTCCAGGCTTTACTGTGTTGTATCCTTCTCATTGGAAAAAAAACAAAATTCCCTCAATTCCTTGAAATAAATAGAGAAAAATGAATTAATGGTGTTAGCACAGTTGACTAACAATTCTACAAAGAATCACTTTTCTTAAATGTATTATAATTTATCGCTTTTTTTGGTATAAATCATTTGTTAGCTATCTCTGGTATATTTTTATTCTTCTATAAAAATCATCTACAGTCACTTGATTTTTTAAAAGGATTTGAAAAATTAGATGAATTGTTTTGATAGAAATAAAGTTTAAGCAGTTTCATGATAAAAGATTCATTTCTTGGAAGAGAATTTATTGTGCTTTCACAGGGTAATTTGTAAAAAAGCATTCACTGTTTAAAAATGTATAATGTGCAGTTTTATTTGTTTCAATAGCTTACTAAAGGATCTTCAGTTTTCTCCGAAGTTGTAATTTCCAGAATGCTAGTTTTTGTTTTGATTGTTTAGTAGGATTCAAAATCATTTAGTTTCTTCCTCTTCTAACCTTTATGAGACTGGACTTTACCAGTTTCTAAAGGGATAAAAGTGAACCTATTTGTTAGCATAATTATGTTTATCACAAGAATATTTAGCTAGGTTTTTGGGTCTCTTGGGTCTTGTTTTTTTTTTCAATATATAGTGGACACCTGTCACAATAAAATATTGGAAACTTAGAAGATTTATGAAGTTGTTATAACCTATAGGAAAATTATTTACTATGTTTATTCATTTTCTCATTCAGCAAGTTTTTTGAGCCCCTACTATGTCCTAGGCACTGGTCTAGCCACTGAAATGAACAGGCAAAAATCTACCCTCATGATGGAGTACATTCTACTTGGGAGAGCAGGGAACTGTGTGTGTGTGTGTAGCGAATACATATGCAGTAAAACCTGTGTAAGGCAAAAGCCTGTTGGAGCAGGAAAACTCAAATGTTTTCCACTAATTGAGAGCGATAGAGAAGTGGTAAGACCGCATCAAAGGCAGAAAACTTGTGAGACCTGGAAAAAGAAGACAGTCCCGTCGAGTTCCAGCTCTCACAAGTTTCACTGTACATGCATGTATTTGAGTATAAATGTGTGTGAATACATATATATTATACATGCATCGTATGTATACGTACAATATGTAGTATATTGTATAATAGAAAATGTTAAGGAGAAAAATAAAGCAAGGAAGAGGGATAGAACCGGGAAAAAAAAAACCATTGCTGTCGAGTTGATTTCAACTCATAGCAACACTATAGGACAGTGTAGAACTGCCCCATAGGGTTTCCAAGGCTGTAAATCTTTATGGAAGCAGACTGCCACATCTTTTTCCCATGGAGCTTCTGGTGGGCTCAAACCGCTTACCTTTAAGTTAGCAGCCGAGTGCTTAACCATTGTGCTACCAGGCTGTAGAAAGGGTGTGTTTTTTAGTAGTATGGCTAGAGAAGGCTCACTGAGAATAGAAATTAAAGACCTGAAGGAGTGAGCCATGTAGCTAGCTAGGGAGAATAGCATTATGGGCAGAGGCTGTTCTGTGCTAGGAACAGCAGGAAACCAGTGTGGCTGGGGCCAGATGAACAAGGGCTAGAGTAGTTAGAGATGAAATCAGAAAGAACAGTGTCTGATCATGAAGTGCCTCACTGATTATTTTAAGGACTTTGGCTTATATTCAGAGTGAGAAGAGAAGCCATTGCAGAATTTTAAGTAGAGGAATGACTTACACTTCAAAAGTATCGCCCTGGCTGCTATATTAAGAGTGTATCTTTGAGCGTTGCAACAGAAGGAGGCAAGGATAGAAGCAGGGAGATCTCATAGGAAGTTATTATAGTAATGTAGGTGAGAGATGATGGTGGCTTAGACCGGAGTGGTGAGAAATGGTCAGATTCTGGATATATCTTGAAGGTAGAATTGACAAGATTTGCCATTATGGAATGTAAAAGAAAGATGACTCCAAGTATCTGAGCCTGAGTGGAGTTGCAATTTACAAGAATAGTCAAAGTTTCTAGAGAAGGAAATTATGGTGAGAATTTCAGGAGCTCTGTTTTGAAAATACCTACTAGAATTTCAAGAAGAGATGTTGGTGAGGCAGGTAGATGGATGTACAAGTCTAGAGTTTAGGAGTGGGGTTCTGACTAGATACAGAAATTTAAGAGTTAGCAGCATATAAATGGTATTTAAAGTCATGAAGCCAGAGAAGAACACCCTGGGGCATGAGTATAGATAGAAAAAAGAATGACCGAGTCAGGGCACTCCTAACATTAAAAATCTGGGGGATGATGAGGATTGACCAGGAAAGAAGGAGGAAAACCAGTTGAGTGCTGTATTCTAGAAACTGTGTTAAAGAGTTTCTATCTAGTAGTAGTAGTGTTTAGATGTCCTAGATTGGTCAGGTAAATTATGGACTGATAATTAACCATTTGATTTAGCCATATGAAGAACAGTGATGGCCTGACAAGCTGTTTTGATGGAATGATGGGCACTAAATCTTGGAATGGATTCCAGAGACAATTTGAGATACTGAGGATAGGCACCTGTTTTGTTTTTGTTTTTTGTTTTTATTGTACTTTAGGTGAAAGTTTACAGAACAAATAGTTTCTCATTAAACAGTCAGTACACATATTGTTTTATGACATTGGTTAACAACAACAGACATGTCAACACTCCCTTCTCAGCCTTTTTTTTTTTTTTTTTTTTTTGTGAAAATATACATAGCCAAAGATACACCATTTCAAAAATTTCTACATGCACAGTTCAGTGACATCAATTACATTCTTCCATTTGTACTGCTGTTCTCACTTTAGATGAAGGTTTACAGAAGAAAATAGTTTCTCATTAAACAGTACACATGTTGCCCTATGACAAGGGTTAACAACCCCACTACATGTCAACAGTGTCCTTACTCAACCTTGAGTTCCCTATCACCAGCTTTCCTGTCCCCTTCTGCCTTCTAGTCCTTGTCCCTGGACTGCTGTGCCTCATTAGTCCCATTTTGTTTTATGGGGCTCTCCACTCCCCGGCTGAACGGTGAACCTCGGAAGTGACTTCACCACTGAGCTAAAAGGGTGTCTGGGGGCCATGCTCTCAGGGTTTCTCCAGACTCTTTCAGGCCAGTAAATCTGGTCCTTTTTTGTGTGTTGTAGAATTTTGTTCTACATCCTTCTCCAGCTCTGTCCAGAACCCTCTATTGTGATCCTGGTCAGAGCAGTCAGTGGTGGCGGGCACCATCTAGCTGTACTGGACTCAGTCCGGTGGAGGCCTTGGTAGCTGTGGTCCATTAGTCTTTTGGACTGATCTTTTCCTTGTATCCTGTTCTCTTCATTCTCCCTTGCTCCCGAAGGGGTGAAACCAGTGGAGTATCTTAGATGGCTGCTCACAGGCTTTTAAGACCCCAGACGCTACTCACCAAGGTAGAATGTAGAACGTTGTCTTTATAAACTGTGTTATGCCAATTAAGCTAGATGTTCCCGGAGACCATGGTCCCCACAGCCCTCCGCCCAGCAATTCAGTCCCTCAGGGAGTTTGGATGTATCTATGGAGCTTCCATGACCTTTCCTTGTACAAGTTGTGCTGGTTTCCCCAGTATTGTGTACTGTCTCACCAGATAGGCACCTGTTTTGAGGAGCTATACTGTAAAAGGAAGAAATATGGCAATAGGGGGTCAGATAATAGAAAGTTTGGATGCTGATAGCAATGAGCCAGTGTAGAGAGAATAATTGATGATGAGGAAGACGAGAGGGAGAATTGTTGGAACACTGTCCTTAGGGAATGTCTTCTAGTGCACATATGGACTTAGCTAGGATCTCGACCGTCCAGAATAAAAGGAGAGAAAGTGGAGTATGTAAACACAGATGAGTAGATGTGGTAGTGGGGGGTTGTGGAAGTGCTTCTTTGCTTCTGCTTTCTCAGTGAAACAGAAAATGAGTTTATCACTTGAGGATTAGGATACTGGAAATTTTATATTTTCCTGTGCACCTCTTTGAGTTTGCTGTGGTACCCAGGAGTACCTCAGCACACAATTTGAGTACTGTGGAACTGCAGAAATATATATAGCCTGATTACTGGTTGGCATAAGGGTCCCCTTGAGATGGTAAATTTAAAAGGTGACTAGTTAGCATTGCTTTATTTTTTCCCTCTACCCATTTTCAGCTGTATGTGTGCATGTTGAAGAGTTGGATTTAACCAGGGTTGTGGCTGAGGGTATAAATAATTGACAGTGGAATTCTAGTTGGGTAAGGAAGAAAGTGAAGGTATAAAGGGCTGAGCGACAGTAGAAATGTAGAATTAACGGATAGTAGGTCTGGAGGATAGAGGCGATCAAAAGGTTGTTAGATTGTTGTGTACTAGAGAAATGAGCTGAACAGATAGGAGTGGTAGTTGGAGAATGAAGTATTTGAAACTGACCTTATGGAAGAATTGCAGATATTGGTAATGATGAGGTCTGGAGTTTGACCAAGGATCCCTGGGTAGCACAAATGGTTAAGCACTTGACTACTAACTGAAAGATTAGCGGTTTGAACCTACCCAGAGGTACCTCAGAAGACAGGCCTGGTGATCTGCTTCCAGAAGGTCACAGCCCTGAAAGCCCCATAGAGCAGTTCTGCTCTGCACATGTGGGGTCACCTTGAGTTGGAATTGTTTCCATGCAACTAACAATGGGTTTGACCAAGGGAATGAATGGCTGAGGTAGAGTGGGAAGACAAGGTCATTGGAGGAGAAGTTAATGACCTGAGAGGACAGACTACTAGAGGGATCCTGTATGAGCTGACTGAAGTCACCAGGAATTATGGCAGGAGTTTTAAGAGAGAGAGTGAAAGTGAGCCAAGGGCTAAAATCTTCAGAGAATGAGAGGGTGAGATCTGATAGTCAGCGAATGACTAAAACACTTGGATCCTCTGAGAGGCAGTGCTGGCTGTTTTTAGGGTGGAGGGATAATAGCCTGGGACCAACATTGAGGAGCAAAATCATTTAACCCCTCCAAGCCTAATGATGAGAAAGACTTGAGAGGTCTACAAGGGGAAGCAGTTTGTCAGAAAAATCAGGGTTGAGGATCACAGTCATAAATGGAAAAAAGCCAACAGAATGACTTTGTAAATGGGTAGTCATTACCTGTCTCCCATCAATCTTGGCTTCATGTTCTTTTACTAAATATTGGAATACATATTGGCCCCTTTTTCCATTTTTTACTTTAGTCACCATTCTAAGAAAATTAATGTTTATCTGCTAAGCCAAATATGGTAGAAGATTTTTAAGTTCAATTTGATCTGAATGCTATGAAGTAGTTGATTACACTCTTACATATCAAGACCTAAGTAAAAGCTTTAAGAGTGAGCACAGCATATGCATATAGTTACTTGATCTCCTCTTAACTTCACTGCTATTAGCATAAAATCCATTTTGATCTTATTACAAGTTGCAGTTTTTATGTTTCACAGTTGATCAACATGACGGCCACAACCTTAATAATTATTTGCCATTTCATCTATAATGTCATAATCAGATGGATAAGACATTAAGTAATGCTTAGTTTGGGGGAAGATATCATATAAATTTTCATATCTGGTATTTCTATTCTATTTTATTGGTCTGTATTCATACATTGATACCACTTTTAATTACTGTGGCCTTATATTTTTTTAACCCGTTAAGTGGAGGTTCCCTTGTCCCCCATGTTCTTTTTCAGTTTTCCTTGATATTGCTTATTTTGCTTTTCCTTAAGAGCTTTAGATTTGGTTTTACTGACTTATTTTTTTCCTTGAGATTGGATTAAACGTATAAATTCAGGGAGGGTTGAAATCTCTGATACTGATGATTATCGTAAAAACTGAGAGCATATCATTCTGTTTGTTCAGGTTTTTAATGTCAGTACTGTTTTGAAGGTTTCATTGCTTAATGCATATTATCTTGTTAAGTTTATTCCTATTTTATTTTTTACCATTGTAAATATTGCTTTTTTTCATTATATAAATCTTCTGATTAATTGTGTATGTGAAAAGTATATATGTAAGTTTTGTTTTCCCAAACTTACCAAATTGTTTTATTTGGGTTTGTTTTTTATTTGATTCTCTTGTATGTTTTCCAAATAATCGTATGATCTGCGTATAGTGGTAATTTATGTCCTCTTGCCTAACTTTCTGCTTCTGAACTATTTCTCTTAATCACTTGTATTGAATTTGCCAAAATTTTGTTTATTTTTTCTTGTAATAGAAGTCCTGGATAGTCTTTTCTTACAATTATGGCAGACAAATTAACAAGAATTGCTATTGTCAACCACGACAAATGTAAACCTAAGAAATGTCGGCAGGAGTGCAAAAAGAGTTGCCCTGTAGTTCGAATGGGTAAGCTGTTCTGTGGATCATTTAAGATAAAAGCGGGTATTAAAAGAAATGTCTTGGTAGTCCTGTGTTTTTTTTTTAGCTTGGACTTTGTTTTCGTTATTAGTTTCTTTAAAATATAAAGATAAGAAAACCAGTTTTTGTTCTCATTTTCTCTTATTACATTGTGATTGAATGATCCTTTTTTTCTTAAGAAAACAAATTATGAAATACTATATTACTACCAGTTTTTTAAAGTTCATTAAATGTGAAATCAAACCAGAGTTTTGGGTACTGAGATTCTTACTATTCTACAAAATTCTGTGGGGACAAGACTGCCTTATCTTTGATAGTATTATCATCTTTAAAAACAAGAATAAAAAAGCCTAATAGCAATGACTATTCATGACGTTTTACTATATTTTCAAGATTAAATAAATTTCCAGCAATTCAGTGTTGATGAATTGTTTTCTGCATTTATTTTTGGAGCATCACTTACACAGCTAACATTTCATTCCGTATTTCATTCATATTTTATTCCATTACCCAAAGCATATTTTGTTTTGTGAATTAAAGATTCAGGTCAGTCAGCTAAAAAATAAGTCTTTCAAGATCTGCCACATTTTTACTAGCATATTTTCTTCCGTAGTAATAAATTTAAAGAATAGAGTCATCTCTATTGCGTGAAAAGAGGATTCATATATGTAAAAAGCCAGAAATTTGATTCAAAAGTTATCCTCACAAAGCAATGATTTAAGACAGTATCACAAATGGGGCTTCGTTTTTGCCTTTATTTTTGAAAAATTGCTTATATATGGAAATTTGGAACCAGCATTTCCCAGATAACAATGTTCAGAAGATTTAGATCAGGAAAAATTATTTAATTCTGTCTTTTCCTTTACCAGGAAAACTATGCATAGAGGTTACGTCTCAGAGCAAAATATCCTGGATTTCTGAAACTCTTTGTATTGGTTGCGGTATTTGTATCAAGGTAAGTGATAATGTTTTCTTTTATTTATCAGAGCAAATTTGTAGCCTCAGTATGATAACTGAAAATTCTGATGCATAGTAACTTTTTAAAGAGGCAAAATATAAAGCAAAGAAAGAAGAATATAAATTTTGGAAAATGGTATTCTTGTGTCAATTATCGAATGCTATTGCTTTTGTAATGAATTAAACCACACTATTTAACTTTGTAAAGCCCCATTTCCAGACTCTTCTGAGAAGGGCACTCTCCAACATATCTTTACAGAACCTTTTGGAAGTATATAGATACAAAAAATATAACTGTCCTATTACATGTAACAACCTTTATTTTAAATATTTTACATGTTACATATTTCAGCTTTAATTTTATTTAACTTTAAAAGCGCACTTTTTAAGTACAAATGAACAGAACCAAAAAATGTTAAATTTAACCTAATCCTTAAGTGCTTACACTGTATTACATGTTCTATTGTTGGGTTAATCCCAATAGGATAATTTTTAGAAATGTCTCAGTTTTTGTTGCATTGAGTAGTTTGGTCCTTTTGATTTCGGAATGACAAATTTCAACCTTTAATTCATTGAAAACATTTAGGAACCGTACATAAAGTAAGTTCTTAACTTAGGTATTTTTATTTGTAGGTAATAAATTATGAAAAGGAGCTTCACCAGTGTATGGATACCACATATGTATATTTTATATTGGTTTTTGGTTAAGTATTCCAAAAAGATTTCATAGATACCTGAAAATGTCTTCCCTTGTTTTGAAAATATAAGTAGGAAACATTCCTTCTAGCAGATATTTACTAATTTCTTATTAGATGTCCTAGGTGGTGAGAATATGATTCTGAACGATCTATTTTCTTTCTTTGCTGCTATAGAAAAATGAGATTTCAAAGCTTTGAGTATGTACTTCAGTGGAAGATACTAATGAGATAAATCTATTGAGGGTGCTGAGGGATAACGTATACTTCCTGAACACCAAAATACTTATAATACACCTCATATATGAACAGTGGATTTTTTTTTTCTTGTAGATTTAGAAAAGTTTGCAGCCTGTAAGCACTTTAGATACATTGATGGAAAGAGGATAATAGAGAATTCTGTAAATGGGTAACTCCACTGGCATTAAAATATAGTTTATGTAAGAATTAAAAGTTATGGTTAGTGGTAGTTATTTTATTAAAAGATAAAAGGTTTTGTGTGTGTGTTGTTTTATTTTTTATGTTCTTTTAACTCATGTAATGGGAATTCATTGAAATCTTCATGCACAGAGATTTTGAGTTGGAGCCATGAGCAGACCTCTAATTTAACGTTACACTGTTTGTATGAACCTCTGTAGTCATCTGTACTTTTGAAATTTTTTTCTAGCCACGTTGTCGTGTGCCATCAAGTAGATTCCAACTCCTGGCGACCCAGTAGGGCAGAGTAGAACTGCCCCCTGGGATTTCCAAGGCTGTAATCTTTACAGAAGCAGACTGCCACATCTTTCTCCCATGAAACAGCTGGTGGGTTCAAACCACCAACCTTTTGGTTAGCAACAAACACTTAACCACTGCACCACCAGGAATCCACATTACCACTCTTAAATGACCTTCCTATTCTTGCCCTTGGACATTTATCTGACAGTCAAATGTTACAGTTTTCTATGACTGAGGGTTTTTTTTTTGTTTTGTTTTTTTGTTTTTAATTTACTCATTCAAACTGGAGTATCCTTTTCATATGGGATGGATAAAAGTCACAGCAGAAAGCTATTAACCCTCGTTCTGTGCAAACTATCATGTAAGCTGTTGGTGGAACATAAATAGCCAAAAAGATACAATCCATGGCCTTAAAGGACTTTACAAGGTAGAAGAGGAACCATATAAGGAGAGGAATAATTGAAGAAAGTGGAGGGAAACCATCTGTCATAGGCTGAATATTGGAATCGTATACTCAGTAAAAACCAAACCAAACCCATTGCCATCGAGTCGATGCCAACTCATAGCAACTCTACAGGACAGAGTAGAACTGCCCCATAGGGTTTCCAAGGAACAGCTGGTGGATTTGAATTGCCAACCTTTTAGTTAGCAGCCGACCACTTAACCAGTGTGCCACCAGGGCTCCGTGTATTCAATAACCATTTTTTATCTTGCCTCTTAGCCTTTTTTTATTCTGTCTTTTAAAAAAACAAAACTCAAGTTCTGTAAGGTTTTTCAACAAGTATTAAATACTTATTAAGTGCATAGGACTATGCCAGTCACTAAGCAGAATATAAAATTAGGCAATATAATTTATACCTTCAATGAACTTAGTTTTTATTTTTTAAGTTAAGAAAAGGACATGAAACAATATCTCACATCTTTGTGAAACCTCCCATATTTGGAAGATTACTTATAAAAAACTTTTTAATCTATCCATTTTAGTCATGTGTATATGTCTACAAATTAATACAAAATTAATTCTTTACTTTAAATAACAGAAATGCCCCTTTGGCGCCTTATCAATTGTCAATTTACCAAGCAACTTGGAAAAAGAAACAACACATCGATATTGTGCCAATGCCTTCAAACTTCACAGGTATATTTTCAAGTCAAAATTCTGGTTTACTTCAGTAAACGTTAAGAGTAAAATACCTTTGGAATTTTCAGAGTAAAGAAAAATGGAAGGAAATTGTATTAACCATCCACTAAAGGGTATAATATGATAACATCATGTAGAGTCATATTGTATATGTCGGTAGTTACTTCTGGCTAACGTTAGAATTACCTGGGGGATTTCTTAAAACTACTAATGCCCAGATTGAACCCAAACGAGTTATCTAAGTATTTCTGGATTGTAGGGCTCAGACCTCAGTAGATTTTAGAAGCTCCCAGGTGTTTCTAATGTACAACCAGAGTTGAGAGTCACTGATGTACCTAGTACCTTATTCCCCAAAATGTCTTTTAAGAGAACTTGTTTTTGGTATTATTTATCCATTATCTTATGATCTACCGAGACTATTACTCTAAACTTGGACATACTAAATCACAAGCAAGTCCCCTAATTCTTAGAGATTTTTATCTGCTGAATACTAATATTTTGAATCTGGGAGTCTAGTTTTAACTAATGAAAAGGTATTTCTCAACCTGCCAGCTTTAAGGGGCCTACTGCAGCAGGGAGAATGAAGTGGAATATTTCTGGTTGATGAGGCACTTCTCTCCTTGTGAGTAATTGGCAGGCCAGGAAAAAAAAAAAGAAAGTGTGAAGTTGTACCCGCTATGTAATTTTCTACCAAAGCGTTTTGTTGTACATTAAAACTGAGTCTTATATGTAAAGAAGAAATCTTACTTTAGAATGGACTTTGAATGGAAATGAAATCAATAAAATTTGGAGTAGTACTGGTCATGGATGCATTTCTAACAATTAACAGTTTATATTAATCTCGGCTGTTTTTTCCTGATAGCCAGTAATGTCTGGCATATATCTCTTAGCTTATTAATGGATGTGTGTGGAGTGCAAATGCATTAAAATACATCATTCAAATATTACGTAGCTTTTTCTACCCCAGTCTGAGTTATTTTGCTATTTTTGTATACTTGTAACAGGTTGCCTATTCCTCGTCCAGGTGAAGTTTTGGGATTAGTTGGAACTAATGGTATTGGAAAGTCAACTGCTTTAAAAATTTTAGCAGGAAAGCAAAAGCCAAACCTTGGAAAGTATGATGTATGTATTCTACCTTATAAAAATGAGTATTTGGGGTTGGTTTTATGAGACTTAGAAGGGAGGTGTGTATGTGATTTTTTTTTTTTTAATGTTTTCAAAATTCATGAAATTAATGCAGAGAAATTATATATAAATGAAGCTATCTTTTTAATTAAAATCTATTAATAGTACTTAGCCAATAATTCTGAGCTGCCTTAAACTGTTAGGTGTTAATAAGCCTTGATTTAAAATGGAATTCACCTCCAATCTTAAGGATAAATTAGAAGCCAAAAGTATTCTATTTGAATATATGTTCTATTTTGTGTTGATGAAAAACTTAGCATATTAGACTCTATTCTTAGTGAGAAAGTATCTCTTTTGATATCATACTAGACTTTGTTCTACTTTTATAACCAGCCTCTTTGCAATTGTATGATTAATTTAAATTCATATAATTATATGCTCTTTTCGTAGGATCCCCCTGATTGGCAAGAAATTTTGACTTACTTCCGAGGATCCGAATTGCAAAATTACTTTACCAAGATTCTAGAAGATGACCTAAAAGCTATTATCAAACCTCAATACGTGGACCAGATTCCCAAGGCTGCAAAGGTCAGTTTCTTTTTTTGGAATAATTTTTGTATTATAGATATTGGTGTAGGCATAAAAGAACATCAAAGTAAACTTGTTTTGCTTTGTGACTCTTAAATATTGGGGAAGAAAAATAGTGGTAACTATTTCTAATGTGTCACGATAGGGGACAGTGGGATCTATTTTGGACCGAAAGGATGAAACAAAGACACAGGCAATTGTATGTCAGCAGCTTGGTAAGTGTTTATTTTGTGTATGTGTTTTAATAGGCCCTGAACTTAAGTCACAAAGGTATACATCTTTATGTAGGTTATTGAAATACATGGGAAAGTCTCTACAGTACGTAATTGCCATATGTACTTTTTATATTATGTGTTTCTCAACTGAAATACTCAAACCCATGAATGATATGAAATAGCATGCAGTATACATTTTGCCTGGAAGAGGTAAAATAAAGCTTACAATATTGAGCACAATGCCTCTATGTTCTTTGTAGATTTAACCCATCTGAAAGAACGAAATGTTGAAGATCTTTCAGGAGGAGAGTTGCAGAGATTTGCTTGTGCTGTCGTTTGCATACAGAAAGCTGATATGTAGGTTATGTTTACCTCTTTTGTAAATCTTAATCCTTGCTTTAGAGTTGTTATTAGTAATGCCGCTAATACAGCTTTGGTTTTGAGAAGAATTAATAGAAACAGTATCAAAGGCCCTAATTTCAAGGTAAGATGTTGAAGTATTGTGCATCCACCTCCCCTTCTCCCTGATGTTATTCCTGCAGGGGAAAGAACACTAATTTTTTTCAGTAAGTAACTTGCAACTTAGGAATGGGTTCCAAAGGTTTTTTATATAAAGTCAGTTGTTTAAGTTAAATTCTCTTTTTGCATTAAAAAAAAAGTTTTAAGAGTTAAGCTCTCCTGACTAGAACACTTATATACTGTTGGTGGGAATGTAAAATGGTACAACCACTTTGGAAATTGATTTGGCACTTCCTTAAAAAGCTAGAAATAGAAGTACCATACGATCCAGCAGTCCTACTCCTTGGAATATATTCTAGAGAAATAAGAGTTGTCACGCGAATAGGTATATGCACACCCATGTTCATTGCAGCACTGTTCACGATAGCAAAAAGATGAAAACAACCTCGGTGCCCATCAGCGGATGAATGGATAAACAAATTATGGTATATTCACACAGTGGAACACTACGCAACGATAAAGAACAACTTTGAATCTGTGAAACATAACATGGAGGAATCTGGAAGGCATTAATGCCGAGTGAATTTAGTCAGTCGCAAAAGGTCAAATATTGTATAAGACCACTATTATAAGAACTCAAGAGAAGGTTTAAACACAAAAGAAAACATTCTTTGATGGTTACGAGTGTAGAGAGGGAGGGAGAGGGGTATTCTCTAGCTAGATAATAGATGAGAATTATCTTAGGTGAAGGGAAGGACAACACACACTACAGGGGAAGTCAGCACGACTGAACTAAACCAAAGCTAAGAAGTTTCTTGAATACAGCCAAACACTTCGAGGGACAGAGTAGCAAGGGCAGTGGTCTAAGGACCATGGCTTCAGGGGAAATCTAGGTCGTTTGGCATAACAAATTTCATTAAGAAAATGTTCTGCATCCCACTTTGGTGAGTGGCATTTGGAGTCTTAAAAGCTAGCAAGCAGCCATCTAAGATGCATCAATTGGTCCCAACCCACTGGAACAAAGGAGAATGAAAAGACACAAGGAAAGTATTAGCCCAAGAGACAGAAAGGGCCACATAAACCAGAGACTGCATCAGCCTAAGACCAGAAGAACTAGATGTACCTGGCTACCACCAGTGACCACCCAGACGGAACACAACAGAGAGTTCCTGACAGAGCAGGAGAAAAGTGGGGTGCAGAACTCAAATTCTAGTAAAAAGACCAGACTTAATGGTCTGACCGAGACTGGAGGGACCTCAGAAGACATGGCCCCTGGACCGTTTGCCCAAAACTAAAACCATTCTCAAGGCCAACTCTTCAGACAAAGATTAGAATGGACTATGGGACATAAAATGATGCTTGTGAGGAGTGTGTTTTTTAACTCAAGTAGATAAATGAGACTAAATGGGCAGCTTCTGTCCAGACGTGAGATGAGAAGGCAGAGACGGTCAGGAGCTGGTTGAATGGGCACGGGAAATAAGGGGTGGAAAGGAGGAATGTGCTGTCACAGTATAGGGGGAGCAGCTAGGGTCGCATGACAATGTATGCATAAATTTTTGTATGAGAGGCTAACCTGAATTGTAAACTTTCACTTAAAGCACGGCAATAAAGAAAAATAAAGAGTTAAGCTCTCCAACCAGGCCAGGAAGTTTTTAAATGTCTCAAGTAGCCTACAAAGTCTAAAACCCTATATAAGGGTGGCATGCCATGTGAGGGAGAAAAGGGAAGTGGAAAAAGCAACTTTGTTATCTACCTTTTAGTGCCTTCTCCCAGATATTTGTTACTCTCATCTTTCTCCACATTTCTACTCTGGCATCTAATGCAGGCTAGTTCTGCACAAAGCATTCTATGAATTCTGCGCCATGTCTCCTTTAAAAAGCCCCGGTTGCTTTGATGCAGTTGACTAGCTAGTTAAAAAGAAAAGCTCTCTGAACTACTTCAGACTATTAGAATATTTTCCTTGAGGAGGCTTTAAATTTGCAAGTTGGCCTAATCTTGGAGGTTCTTCTCAGACTTGGCGTGCTAATCCTGCTTTTCATAATTTTTTTCTTTTTTCCACTTCTGAGCAGAAACAAGTGTTTTCATCATTACTGGGTGAACTTTTCATTTGTATATGAGGGAATTTTTATTGTTTAATCAGACTGTGTATATTACAGTCCTTTAAAATAACATACAAGTTACAGTTAGGTCATTTATTATTCAAATTTGTTGTATTTTCTTTTCTTTTTTAATATAGTTTCATGTTTGATGAACCTTCTAGTTACCTAGATGTCAAGCAGCGTTTAAAGGCTGCTATTACTATACGATCTCTGATAAATCCAGATAGGTAAGTACTGATCTGATACATGCCTGTGTTGTTTTGTTTGGGAAGTTTTACAGATCTCTGAAGATTAAACACTGGAACCATCAATGTCGCATACACGTTTTCTATTTTGGTTGTCGCTGCTACCTGCATTTTGTCTTCTGCCTAGAACAGAGGTTCTTAGTGCACAATTCGTTTATTACCACCCATATCCAGCGAGCCTAGGAATACTTTGAAATTACATGCAAACTTTGACATATGTATGTGGCTTTTGGGGAAACAGATCCATAGCTTTTACCAGATTTTCAAATGGATATGTAACACCCCTTAAAAAAAAGAAAAAACTGATTCAGACCATTGTAAAACGCACCAGAGTAGTTCTGTTTGTTCATGATCTTGCCAAGGAAAAGAGAATTCTTCATAACCTTTGTTAAGTAATCACAGCATCCTGTATTTATGTGGTGCTGTTATAGTTTGCAGAGTTTGATTCTCCTGGTAATCTTACAAATTAGAATCTTTAGGTGGTATTCCCATTTCATAAATGAAGAAGTTTAGAGGCAGAAAAGCTAGTTGTTTGCTCTCCATTACAAATTTACTATATGGTAAAACTATGAACAGAACCCAGGGTATTTTTCTGTATAGCATTTTCTATACTATACTGCCTGTCTTTAGTCACTGATTTAATAAACATTGTTTTAAATACAAGGGTGATCTTACAAGAAAGCAAGAGAAATCCCTAAAAATCGAAAACCAAAGAGGGAGCTATAACTCAGAGAGGAGAGATGAGGGGTCTTGCTGGACTATGTAATGGGTCTTTAATACTAGGGGACACGAAGTAAGGCCTTGTATTGGATTATGATGCATAAAATGCTACAACACTCCAAAGACTAACTCCTTTCTCAGCAAAAAGGAAAATTGAAAACAAAAAACTTGCCTGTCATCACATGAAAACCTTAAGGAAGCCTTGTCTATCTCACCAAGCTTGTTGGGATGGAAGGATGACTCCCCTTCAAATCTCTCTTCATAGGCCAGCAGCTTGCATGGGTATAGATAGTTGAAATTAAAATAACCCAGTGGAGTGTCAGAACCCTCCAAGCTGAGAAATTAGCATAAAAAGGGGGATCCTAGAATTTCAAATAGAAAACCAGTCTGGAGGGATATCCCTTCAACCATGGCCACATGGAAAATGAAAGTGTTAGGGGAAAAAAGGAAAGAAAGTCATAGATAATATATAATTTATCTACACATAATTTTTTAAATGTCAGATAATGTCCTAATTGTAATAAAAAGGAACACTAAAAGGAAAATAATTTACAACCATATGACACGTATTTCAATATGCAAATAAATGCTCAGCCAAATCACACTAGAAAACAATGAAGTCACCAGGTGCTTAGACCCATGTATAATGAATAAATTTCAAATTAAAAGGACATCAGAAGCTATTCTGTATAGGAAGTATAGGGAAATGAAATAAATAGCAGAGTTCTAGATGGACTCCAGAATAAAACTAGTGTGAGAAGTAATACTGCACAAGACCTTTTCCTGTATTATGAGAGGGCAGTAACCCTAATTGTAATAAGGATAACATGTCAAGACAAATTAGACTGACAGTGGAGAAAATGATGAAGGCAGTTTCGTAAATGCGCTTTGTTCTATAGAGTTTAGGTTCTTCAATAGTCAAAGAGCAACCTTTGGATAGATAATGTAGTTTCATTTATTCTGTTATTACCAAAGAATAATAAAGGAAATCAGCAAAGCAAAAAATTACTGTTTGGAGGTAGTAGGGAGAAATATTCACCTATTCTATGTTGTGTCCTTTATGTATATTTAATCTTCACGGAACCCCATATTCAGTGGAACTCTGGGGTGTTCAGAAAAGGCATTGCTGTAAATTCTTATTCCCCAAACCCTCCAAAAACAATATCTTGCCTAAATGACTTTCGGGCTTCTGCTTAAGTTCCATTTGAAGGTGGGGGAAGCAGGAGGTTTGACCTATTTTTCTGTTGTTGTTTTTAAAGGAAATCAAAGGCCACTACATAATACTTTGCTGCCTTACACTGAGTTTTGAAGGGAGCATAGAATTTTAATTATTAAAAAGTAGAGAAGTAGAATACTGACAAAGACACCAAGACAGGATGAGCACTGGCTCACCTGGCTGATTTGCCATTTTTATTGTGATAGAAAACATTTCTACTTAATTTTTCCTTTCCATATCAGACTTGCCCTCATTTTTTTTTTTTTTTCCCCCATTCTTTTATCACCTCAGACCTGGATTACTGTGATGGCTTCCTAAAAAATAAAATCTATAGATAAAATCTTGCCATATTCTTTCTGAAATGATATTTTTTCATATTTTCATACTGGCACTGTGCTGTGTGTAGCCTCTAGCCATATATTGCTTTTTTTTTTTTTAATTTAATTAAATGAAATTAAAAATTCATTTCTTTAGTCACGCTAGCTACGTTTCAGGTGCTTAGTAGCCACTTACGTCTAGTGGCTACCTTATGGGATAGGACAGAGTTAGAACTTTTCCATAATCATAGAAAGTTCTATTGAGCAATGCTGTTTAGAACCCACTGTTTTCCCCTTTGCCAGTGACCTTAAGGCTGTATTCTCCATCTTGTCATTCAACAACTTTATTAAATATCTGTTTGATACACAGCACAAGACTAAAAATAATAAAAGTGCTAAAGTAAATATCTTACCACTTTCCTTCAAGATATTCATGGGCAAGTTATAGGGCTACTCAAAAATAATAAAAGTTCATCAGTTCAGAAGTATGGTGGTTCAAGAGGGAGTGAAAGTTTATCTGCATATTTGGAAAGATATTCTTATGGGAGGTAAGATTTGAGATGGACTTTAACGGGTTTAGTGGGATTTCAGTAAGTGAAGATTTGGGCAGGAGACTAGGCAGAAAGAATAGCCCTTAGACACAGAAATGGAGAGGTGGATTATTCAGGAAACATTGATTTTTAGTGCTCCCTTGTCTGTAAGTAAGAGAAAGATAGCAGCTGAAGTTTTAGAAGGTCTTAAACAATAACCTAAGGATGTTGTTCATTTATTTGGAATTGAGAGCCTTCAGGGTCTTGGAGAAAATGAGATTTGTCAAAAGTCTATGGTAGTAGTCAAAGAAATATAATGAGGACCTGAACTAGAATTTAAGCAGACCAAAAAAAAAAAAAAACCAAAATGGACAGACCAGAGATTGCTGAGAAAGAGTTCACAAACTTGACAATTTAAACAAGATATCGTTTGGAACAAAAAGTCATTTTCTATGTGAGTAATGACTCCAGGAATACAAATACAGACAATTTTTATTTGTGAAGGAAGGTAATAAATAAGAATTTGAGATGTCCGCAGGACATTTCTTTTGGACGTCTCGAACAAAGTTGGAAATAGGAATGAAGTGTTGCATGACCATTTAGGCTTAGTGACTTTTACCTGCCTAATAGCTTCTACTGCAGCAGTAATTTTTTCTCGATCATTTCATTCATATCTACCGGTTTAAGGCCCATGTCATGTTCCATCTCATTCATAAAGTGCTCTGGTACATACTAACCCATTTCCTTTCTGACCTTCACTGAATTTTATTATCTGTAGAACATATTTTGCCATTTAGTCTTTTTTTTTTTAATGTCTATTCCTTGTCTTCCTGGCTAAATTCAGGTTAAGGATTCTGTCTTCTTTCTCTCTGCATTCCCTACTACAGCTAGCATTGGAGAGAACAGATAAGAAGGTTTAATACGTCAGTCGGATAACATGTTTAAACAGTTTAGGCTATATCTGAATTGAATCCATTGTAATTGTTTCTAGTTTATAAAGTTTACTTAAAACTTTAGCACAGCACATTTATTTCATACATCCATGAATTGTTTAATGTTAGTTTTTTATTTTCAGTTTAGGGAAACAATTTTAAATATGGACATTGATAATGAGCCTCATTGAGAGAAAATGTTTTTCAGCTTTTGCCTAATATGGTCTTTACACTTTATGTTTTTGTGTGTGTTGATTTTCCTAAAATTTACAGCTGGAGTAAAAAGAGTTCTGGTTAATTATATATGTCATGTCATATTTAAAAATGCAAAAATCTGTTTCCATTTCCAGGTATATCATTGTGGTGGAGCATGATCTAAGTGTGTTAGACTATCTCTCTGACTTCATCTGCTGTTTATATGGTGTGCCAAGTGCTTACGGTGTTGTCACTATGCCTTTTAGTGTAAGAGAAGGTAACTTGAAAAACTGTTTCCACATATTTTGCATTCTCTTCCACTGTAATGTTTAAAAAATATATTATGGTTGATATTAAGTAGTTTTATATTGCTCTAAAAATTATCCAACACCATGGTCTTCTAGAATTTAATCCCTCAACAAAATGTATATATTAGGTTATATACGTCTGTTTATGTAGAATTTCTTTTTGAAGAATTTTCTGTTGGGGTGGGTAGAAGTGCTTTATCAGTGCCACTGTTTCTTTTCTGTGTTAAATTTTTCTTATTTTGGCTTCTACAGCATCATTATAGCGTTTGTCATCAACTTTTGTATGCAACATGCCAGTTTCAGTAGTAAATTCATTCAGTGCTCATCTTTTTATGTTTCAAATTGATCTATAGTATTTACCCTAAATTTGTGGAACTAAGGCTGTGTCTAAAAGTCAAGTCAGCTAGTTCAGTAAGTAGACTTAAATTTTCACGTATTCCTACCGCTTTCAGGAAAAAGGCACTCTGACCTCTCTACCATGTCTCTCCCTTCCCTGTGCAAGCAAGACAAAGGTAGAAATAGTGGCTCCTGAAGCAAATATCAGTGCACTCTCTCTCTACCTTGGATGCCTTCTTCCTTTTCTCTCACATTTTCTTCCACTGTTTCCTTGTTCCTATTTTACTTTGTTTCTTCTCTTCAGCTATGTCTTAAGCTGATAAACTAGAACACCTAAAAGGACTACTTAGTCCATTTATCTTAGGAAAAAAATAACCGTATTCTATAAGAAAAATTTATTTAACCTTGTAGTTCCCTAGCTATGTGGTAGCAGGCTCCTTTTTTATTTATGTATTTATTTTAAGCTATCTCTTCTTCAAAGAGATAGTTTAACAAAAAATTTGTGAGGTTGCTATCTGCCAGATTTTCTTGCCAGTAGTCAGAACCAGTTACTAATTTTTATTCTATTAAGTTTTTATTGAGTAGCCCTTCTATGCCATATAGTAGTTCTAGAGTCAGGTTGTTGATGATATGGGCACCTGGCAATCATTCTTCCATGTTCTTCCATAATCCTGGTTATAAATGCCTTGTCTGAAGGCTATCCCGTTCAAAAAATGGTTCCTGGTGAGATTTTCAATGTGCCTCACCTTAAAACAGTTAAAATATGAAACTGCATTTAATCTCTGCTTTCCTTTAATATACTTAAATTAATGCAGTACATGTAAAAAAGCTCTCTGTAAACTACAAGGCCAATTATAGTTTGAACACATTTTTAAATTGACAAAACAAATATTGCCATAGGAAGGTAAAGACTGACTAGCTGTGTTTTTTGAGCAGGGTCTCTTATTTCTCTGAGATTTCCTTTCCTTACCTGATAAATGAGGCACCTAGACTAAATGGACCCTAAGTTTCCTTCGCGTTCTCAGGTTTCTTATTTAATTTTTTACTTTATTAGGAAACCCTGGTTGCACAGTGGTTAAGAGCTACGGCTGCTAACCAAAAGGTTGGCAGTTGGAATCCACCAGGCACTCCTTGGAAACCCTACGGGGCAGTTCTGCTCTGTCCTATAGGGTCATATGAGCCGAAATCAGCTCAATAGCAAAGGGTTTGGTTTTTTTGTTTTTTTTTCAAATCTGTCTTTTGCACCCAGTGTAAAACAATCTCATGCAGAAATTACATATCGTAATGAAAAAATGTAGTGTTTCATGTGTGTATGCGCACATGCAAATTAGTTAAACTTACATTAGTTACATGAAACACTATGCTGTCACTTCATAGTATGCAGACCTGCATGTTATCAGAAATCCACAGAAATTTAAAAATCCATATGTAGATTGTAGATTGCTCCCAGAAGAACCTAGGTTTTGGGCTTTTATATGATGATTTCTTGCTTAGGAAAATTTTTAGTTTGTAATTGATCTTTACTAGTCTATTGATAAGGACTTTCTTTCCAACAGGCATAAACATTTTTTTAGATGGCTATGTTCCAACAGAAAACTTGAGATTCAGAGATGCATCACTTGTTTTTAAAGTGGCTGAGACAGCAAATGAGGAAGAAGTTAAAAAGATGTGTATGTATAAATATCCAGGAATGAAGAAAAAGATGGGAGAGTTTGAGTTAGCAATTGTAGCTGGAGAGTTTACAGATTCTGAAATCATGGTGATGTTGGGGGAAAATGGTAAGTTTTCCTTATTTTGTGATATTTGAAATTCTGTTTATCCAGTCACTTAGTTTTAACTATTTCATAAAATACTATGATTCAGTTATAGGGCTGGGAGCTGGATTGAATCCATAGATTTCTCAGTGTAGCTTCACACTTTTGTGACATTGTATAATTTAACTCATTGTCATTCATTTGAAGTTTATAGTTCTCGTTTTGTTTTATAACCTTCAGTGAAAGTAAAAAGTTTTTTCTTAGTTGGTCTTTCTGTGTATAAATTTTTTTTTTTTAATTGTGCTTTAGGTGAAAGTTTACACAGCTCAGGTTAATTTCTCATACAAAAATTTATACACATACTGTTATGTGACCCTAGTTGCAGTCCCTATAATGTGACAGCACACTCCCCCTTTCCACCCCATGTTTCCCATGTCTGTTCAACCAACTGCTATCCCTTTCTGCCTTCTCGTCCTGCCTCCGGACAGGAGCTACCAATTTAGTCTCTTGTATCTATTTGAACTAAGAAGCATGCTCTTTATGAGTATTATTTTATGTTTTACAGTCCAGTCTAATCTTTGTCTGAAGAGTTGGCTTCAGGAATGGTTTTAGTTTAGAGTTAACAGAGAGTCCGGGGGCCATGTCTTCTGAGGTTCCTTTAGTCTCAGACCAGTAAGTCTGGTCTTTTTACGTGAATTTGAGTTCTGCACCCCATTTTTCTCCTGCTCCGTTAAGGACTCTCTGTTGTGTTCCCTGTCAGGGTGGTCAGTGGTGGTAGCCAGGCACCGTCTAGTTCTTCTGGTGTCAGGCTGATGGAGTCTGTCAACGTATAAATTGATAGGGCAGTTATTTATCTTGGATACTGGCTAGGAAGGAAAGGATAAGTTAATAGTTCAAAAGCAATCTAGTTTAAATAAAATTTCCATGCTCATCTCCATTTGGAGCTTTCCTTATTTGAAATTTAGGTTGGTCTACCTTTGGAAATAGCTATGTCACCAGCATTTTTAACATTAGGTTGCTATCATAAGTGTGAGATAAATTTGACTACCAAGTATGTGCTGTTACTTTCATGACTTAAAAAAATATTTGATTTGAATTGTAATCTCTTACAGCTTATAAAACTACTATAGAAAAAATTTTTTTTCTTCTAAATTCTAGGAATTTTGAATTGGATTGTAGTGAATTTAAACGTTTTAGCAAATGAACTTTGATGGTAATTATCATAAAACAGTCTATACTATCTTTATAAGTTGTGTGCATTGATATTTTAGTTGAGTAAGTCTTTAAAACTAAAGACTTAAATATCATACTTTGTAGACTTAGACCCACAGTTTATTAAAATGGTTATAATAAGCCTTAAAAAAAAACCCATTGCCATAGAGTCGATTCTGACTCAGCAATCCTGTAGGGCAGAGTAGAACTGCTGCCCTGTAGAGTTGCCAAGGAGCACCTGGTGGATTTGAACTGCTGACCTTTGGATTAGCAGCCGAACTCTTAACCACTATGCTACCAGGGTTTCCGTTATAAGTGTTAGCTAGTCTGTATTCCTCCTAATTAGCTTAAATGGATACTTAAGAGGTTTAAAAAGTAGGCAATAGTGATTTACTCTAAATGCATGTCATTGTGTTGTGTATTGTGTTGCCAGGTACTGGTAAAACAACATTTATCAGAATGCTTGCTGGAAGACTTAAACCTGATGAAGGAGGTACTGTTTTAATGTTGAGACTTTTCACTCTCTTCTACATAGTAAACTTTGAAGATCTGGGCAGTTTTCAGTGTCTTGTTTATTTGCATTATTTTACAGGAGAAGTACCAGTTCTAAACGTCAGTTATAAGCCACAGAAGATCAGTCCCAAATCAACTGTGAGTTGTTATTCTGTTACTTTGTGATTAAAGAAAAAAATCTATATGTAACTATTTCTTTAATCTTTTACTCTATTAAACTTCTCCCAATTAGATTCTGTATAGTTTTATCAAAAGTGGCTAAGGGCGTGACCCTTGATTGATTTCCACTGCTAGGAGGAATGTGCTTAAAATCTGTTTGGCATCTTTTCCTAAAGTAAACCTTTAATAAAACTTGATGGGGTTTCTGCTGCAAATGACATCATCAAGAAAGTGTAAAGGCAAACCACCAAATAGAAAATATTTGCAGATCATATACAGTGAAACCTATGAGAGCTGCAGCTTGCCTGGACTGCCTGGTTTTTCTGGGTCTTGTATGTTTTCCATCTTTGACAGGGTCCAGTCTCAACCACCTTTCCGTCACTCTCTATTGGTGGAAAATGTTTGCGTTTCCCTTCTTTGACATTTTCGCCTTATACATGTTCCAGCTTTTGCAGGTTTTACTGTATCTAATAAGGGACTTGCATCCAAAATATATAAAGAGCTCTTACAACTCAATTTAAAAATGGGCAAAGGGTTTGAATAGATATTTTTTCAGATATACAAATGGCTAACAAGCGTATGAAAAGATGCTCAGCATCATTAGTCATTAGGGAAATTCAAAACTACAATGGATACCATTTTCACACCCAGTAGAATGACTAAAATGAAAAAGTTAGACAATAATAAGTGTTGATGAGGATATAGAGTAATTGGAATCCTCATACATTGCTGGTGAATATAAAATGATAGAGCCACTTTGGAAAACAGTCTGGCAGTTCCTCAAACAAACAGCAGTTCTACTCCTAGGTATGTCTGCAAGAGAAAAGAAGACATATCTAAACAAAAACCTGTACACACATGTTCATAGCATTATTCATAGTGGCCAAAAAGTCTAAAACTCAAGTGTCCGTCAACTGATGAATGAATAAACAAAAGGTGGTATATTCATATAAAGGAATACTGTTTGGCTATAAAAAGAAATGAAGCACTGATACATGCTACAAACATGGATGAACCTTGAAAATATGATGCTAAAGTTAACCTTTGATTTCTACAAATGTTATAATGAAGTTACCTTCATTATCGACACTCAGTATCTCAACACTCGCTTTATGTCTGAGAAGGCTTGTTGTTGTTAGGTGCTGTCAGGTTGGTTCCGACTCATAGCAACCCTGTGTGCAACAGAAAAAAACACTGGTCCTGCACCATCCTCACAGTTGTTGCAGCCACTGTGTTAATCTGTCTTGTTGAGGGTCTTCCTCTTTTTCGCTGACCCTCTACTTTACCAAGCATGATGTCCTTCTCCAGGGATTGGTCCCTCCTGATAACATGTCCAAAGTATGTG